ATTTCTACAGAGCATTATCTAATTGCATTTATAGGTTATAGCACAGTGGATCATTCTTAAAACTCATTTCTTCCTTTGAATCTGAGAATACTATAATTTCCCCACTGTATCTTCTAATATATTCCGCTTCGTGGGGATGTTATTTTAAAACCATAGCATCAATTATTATCCAAAGCTTCTGTCTGAACATGACCTCAGTAAATTTTACTCCTGTTGTACTGGACTGTCAAAGTTCTGTATGATGTCTTCAGGTTGCATTTTTAAGTGTCTTTACTTTGCCATTTGACTAAGTATTTGATTCTGTTCACAAAACCATCAATGTGGCAAAAAACAACATAATGACCTCACCTCTGAAACTCTAAAACAAATATCTGAAATGGGTAAAGATGGTTGTTGTACTGACTTTACCATGGACAATATTTCACAAAAAACACAGGCATCAGTTGGTTTTATTGTACCAAATTGGGCCCATGAAGCCTAAATGCAGATACCGCTATGGTTTTTGGAGGCCTGACAAGGTATGTCAAGTACATTTTTATAGTTGCTTTGACATCCAGATAATTACAACAATATTGTTCAATCAGAACAACTGAAGAGGCACTGATACATACTTTCATATCATTGATCTTCAAGTATCAAGAATGGAATTGCTTGACTATTCTTTTTTTACACATTATGATGTCTCAATTAGTGAATATGTCTTGAAAAGGACTCACAACAATTGAACTACAGTTGAAATTATTTATCTGCTCACTATCAGGATAAACAGATTTGTTTCTCGTGTTGGATCACTTAGTCACTTTGAGTATTGCAACTGTAAAATAATATTCAGTGATAGTGGCAATGACAGTATCTTTGGCTTCAGTTGATAAAACAGGAAAGCATGCCTGCTTGGTCTAAATTTGAACTTGTAATTGAGTATGAAATCATGTTCCATTGCAGCAGTTTGCTGGTGGTGTAAACTAATATTTTTCTTTGAACTGAACATAACTACCATTTACAATAAGGAGTGAAATGTATCAACATGTCTAAAGGTGAGGTGAGTATCAAATTCATTTGTTTGAATACTTTCAGACTGACACACTGAAGCACAGACAAAAATGCGCTGTGATGCAACAATAACCCTCACCCTAAAAAAAGATTTAAGTGTAGTAAGGACTGATGGTGGAATAATTTTCTGAATTGTTCCAATATTGGCAGAATCCAGTTAACATTTTGGTCACTAAAGAACCCACAGTATTTGAAATATTGCATATGAAAGTTTCTCAGCATGTAAACTAAATATATAACTGCTGATATGTTTCTTGTCTAATCTCCCTTCCCCAGTTGTTCCAAATGCATTTACAAATGCTAATTTCACTCATGATAATTACCCTTTTTTTCATTTTTACAATGTAAATCAACATCAATACAAACAATGTATAAGTATTTTGAACAAGTTCTTTTCAGTGCACAGTTTGATATAAATGCTTAAAAATATATTGTTCTGTTGTTGATTTCTATTCATAAAATGTTTATACACTTTCCTCAGTTACCTTTAAAATAATGCAAACAGTTTCAAGAGTTTCATTTTTAAGGAATATATTGACTTCATTGATAAAAAAATCAACCTTTTATATGATATAAGTAAAAGAATGTGTTCATGATCATTTTCAATAAAATGAAAAAAACATCTAAAATTTGATCATATATTCAAATATTTAGGCAGTAGAATGCTGAAAATTAGCACCTGTAAACCTCTTTTTGCACAAAGTTTTTATAAAAGCAGTATGTGCCAGCATGGAAATTTCTAGGAAGAGAAAAACTGGCAAGTTGTAGCAAAAGTTATGCAAACTTATAGCATATGTGAGGTTGAAAGAATCAAGGAAGATAAAATCTGGATTGTGTAAAGATTTGAGAATATTAAGTTTCTCATTATTCTTAAATTTATGACTAAAGCTCAGAAACAAATGGCAAAGTGGGTCCATAAAAATAGATTCATGCTTATAGAAGTACAGTTTTAAGAGTTTACAGGAAAATAATTATTCTTTAAGATTTTAGAGTACTGTTAGTGATATTTTATGATGAAGTACTGAAGAAAAGTTCTTGACCTTTCCAAAAACAAGTATTCTGTGATTTTGGTAATAAAAATACTGCTTTTAGGAAATGGGTTGGGCCAAAAATTGTTCAGCATCCCCATATGTCAGTATTTTCTTTTTAGATATTCTTCAAATTTTATTCAGAACACTGTGTGTGTATATGTATAAACACACTTCTTTTAAATAAACTGATAAGCTCAGTATGCAACCAAGTTTGTAATTACTATGCTAAAGCATACAATTGTGCCTAAGGCCAACTCAGATGTTAACATTAATGTTATCTAAATGTTCATATAGAATGAAATTAGGATGCATTGAACAATACAAGGAAACAAACATAATAGGTAAAATGTCATAGTAGAATTAAAAACCAAATTCTTGTTTATTAGCTGCAGAGTTGTCAAATCATAAGCCAGAAGACATTTCTTGGTGGTAATGGAGAAGATAATAATGGTCTTAATAGTGAATATGTCAGATAATATAATTGTTAAATTACACTTGGTGGGTGAAAGTTTTAGTTACTTTGGTACTACTAGCAGAATTTCAAGTATGTAGATGGGAAAATTTGTTCCAAAACTAAATTAAATCAATATCTTAAACAGCCACAACCTTCATTTCAAGTGATTTCATGTGCAGACATCTACAATGTGTTAATTAGTTACCAAACAAATACTGCAACATCAAATATTTTTACCTGCATAAATCAATGAGTACCAATATTTTCACTTGTCTAAAAGGTTATGGCACTGTAAGTGGTTGATGTCAAAATGAGTTTGTACTGACCATATGATAGATCACATGACATGTAAGATAAATGTCAAACATTTAAAACAGTATATTGTAAGAATTAATGCTCATAAACATTTAAATAATAGTTAAGATGCAAATGTATATGCCATTTGGAGGAACATATATTCAATGCTGAAATTTCTAATAATGAATCAACATTGCTGAAATTGAGTAAACATGTATCACTAGAATAGAAAAGTCTGCAAATCGAAATCAATTGTGTAATTTACTTGTGTATGTTTTTAAAAATACCAATAAAACTATTAATCATCTTTAGTTTAGAAGGAATTTAGAACAAGAAATCTTTAGTGAGACAAGAAAACAATTTACAAATCAATTGCTAAATTTCATATTGCTATGTATTACAGTGCTATTTTGTTAATATCACTTGCATTAATTCTTGAACACAGACAATCTTCTTGATTTTCAGTGCACAACATACAAGTTGTGTGATGAAACATGGTCAAAAATGAAAAACTTGGCAGGTTATTAAATAACATTTTTAAGTGTTAATGTTACTAGCATAGTTTTTATTCATTCATAGCTCTGAATGACCATCTTGTGTTATAGCCAACACTCACCATGAATGGGCTATTACTTCTTTGAAAAGGTAAGGGGGGGGGCAAAAAATATCATCTAGGCATACTTTTGAAGTTAATATTTTAAGTGAGTTTTCTGGCAGAATATAGATAAATATTTAAGAATTTTTATTATATTCATTGTGAATTTCTGGGATGAGGAGTTATTTACATTATTGTCTTCATCTTTGTTGTTATTAAGGCTGTTGTGCTCTCCGGCCTTCATTAGGTACTTGTTGATCTGGCTATTTTGAACTAAACCCTTTATCTAATCTACAGTGGTAGAGTGTTCTCATTCCACTGACAATATCTAGAGATATCTCATCTAGTTCTTATTTAGTACTTGCTCAGTTATTGCTTGCCTAGGGATTGAAATCACAGTTACCGTATTACCAAAATTCCCAAACACTTTAATCCATGGAACAATAGCCTAGTGGATTAAAGCACTGATTCATGAATTTGGTGGTATAGTAATTTTGAGTTCCATCTCTGGGCCAGGTAGGTTGTACTCACACTCAGTGCAAACGGATTGAGCAATAACAGAAGTACTAGATAAGATATCACTCAACATGGTCAGTGGAACGAGAACAATCTACCCCTGTAGATTATATAAAGGGTTCAGTTTGAAATTCCTTAAAAGTTACCCAGATCAAGGCTGATGAAAGCTGAAGTCACAATAGCTGAAACATTGTAATAATAATAATAATGACAAAGATGAGGACAATATCTGCATGTAAATAATGTATATTCATTTTGTTTACATGTCAGTATACCATAAAAATGTTGGTTGCTGCTTACTTCCTATAAATGTTTTTTTTTCTATTTGCTGGGTCAATATATTTGTATATTAAACATTATTTTAGAGAGTACATGTGTAAACATTTGTTTTGTTTTTCTAAACAGTGAAATTAACATCTTATCTAGGGAGGTCTACTGAAACATGTACCCACTAAAATAATGTTTATAGTAATGAGAAAAACTTTGCAGAGCTTGGAAGACTTGCAGTATTTTCATGAGTTAGCAAAGGACAGGGAGATTTGGAGAGAACTGATAAGAGTTATTTACAAAGTTGCTGAAGAATGAGAAATCGCATTGATTTGCAGCGTGTCTGAAACAGTTTTAATGATAAGTATCAGATTAAAAAAAAAAAAAAAAACCATGAGTATCTCATCTTTGTAAACAGTCATTGATGATTGATGAAATTTCAAGTTTTTATAGTTGATAACAAGAGTAAATTGATTAAAAAAAAAAAAACCAAGAGAACAAACAAACAGATCAATAAATACTTGATTTGTAAGAGAGAGAGAGCGGGTGAGAGAAGCAAAAGGTTTAGTAAATTTTTCTAGTTTACATTAAAATCAGCTTGTTACAATGTTGTTAGATTAATGGGCTTTTTAAAAATAGACAATCCTACAGTAATAGAGTCCTAATATTTGATTTCTTGATGGAAAAAATAAATTAAAAAAAAAATTTAAAAAAAAAAAAAAGAAGGTAAATGAAATAAGTTTTAAATGACAAATTTCAAATTTACAACAATTTTTATATGACTCCTTACCTCAAAGTTGGTTGAGCAGGTGGAGCCTGAGGAATAGAAACTAAATGTCTGTAGCGGTTTAACAACTTTCTTTGTTGCTTACTTAAAGGAAGATCTGGAAGCTGTTTGAGCCTTTCATGAAGTTCTTTGCCTTTCCTAAAGCTTTGGATGCTACGTACCCAATCTCCATCAATCATTGTGTAGATTTGTTCCTTACTCAGCTGACACATTAAACCACGATCAGATTCAGAAAGAAGCCTAAAAATGAGAAGTTGTAAGATAATATTAATAATGATAATTGGATATTTATCCTTAACTACTGTAAATTTTACACATATACTAACATACCAATTGTAGTGAGAAGGATGCATGAAAATATAACTTATTTGAACACAGACCATCTCCCAATAGGACTTGAAAGAACTAAAATTTAAAAATTAAATATAAAACCCACAATGCTGAATCACAATTCTTCAAATGATGCATTTTACATTATACTCATGGTCTCAAACCTTTTAATAAAATCTAGGAAACAAACCATGTAACCATTTATGCTTATATATATAACAAAAGATAATAATTTCTCAGTAATTCTTAATTAGTCAGGTTTCACAAGGTCAAAAGAAAATTTGATTTGTAAAATCAAATTTCAATATCTTAAGAAAAAACAAGATGTGACAAATGATAAGTTTTCAGATAAAAAGTTAAAACACTTTAAAGGATATTAGATACACTACATTAGGACATTTGGAAATCTGTTAACTGAACAACTTTATATATCAAAGCAAATTACACTGATTTGTTTGAAGACAAAAAATAGTGCCACATTAAAATTTAAAAATTATTCTGTGAACAAATAGCCATCAGTTGGGCTATTATCACCGAGCATCTATTTACAAGACACCTTGCAACTTCTGATGTTTTACTATCTTCTCATGTCAAAGCAGAAAACAAAAAAATCCTTCTGTACTAATAGTAAATTTGTTTGACAATTGAAATTTAAGAAAAAGTTTGTTTTTATTACAGTGGATATTTTCTTCAATATGACATTCAATCTTTCTAATCGCCAATTTCTTTCTTTTATCATGAAAACTTGACTTGGAAAATATTTAACTTCAAAGAAACATCACAAAACATTCAAAATCCCATAAACACATATCTTGAGATGTTGCAAAAGGAAAAAAATCAAATGACTTCATTTAACTAATGCTTCTTTCATTAGTGACATATAAACATTTACTGGTTCTGTCCAGATTATGAAACATTTGAAAAAAGAAGGAAAACTGCTCAATAGACAAATATATTCTCAATTGTGTTGCAGCCTATAAAAGAAAATAATACTTACGGCAATATTTTACTGTATAAAGGAATAAGTTGTGCAGCATCTGCAGCAGCATAATTTACCATGCGATCAGTAAGGGGACGCTCTGACCAGAAGGAATCATTCTGTGTCATAGAGTATTTTACTGAGTCCTTAAGTGATGCCAACAAAGGAACATTATATATGAAACAGAGTGTCTTTAAAGAAGCACGTGCAGGGTCCCACCAACTGTCACTCCCATTTCTGACATTGATTAGAATGTGGGCCATCTGAAATATAAATGGAGAGTAAATTACAAAGCTAAAATTATCTAACACTTATAATCAATTAAATCATGTTAAAATATTTTCCAGAAAGAAAAACATTCTTTTTGTATTTTTTTTTCATAATAAAAGGTGCACCAATAGCAATCTTTTTAATAACTCATAAGAAAAAAATTAAATAAAAATTAAACATTAAAAAAAAAAAAAAAAGCCAATTTTACGAAAAGATTGATTTTATATTTGTTGCTTCTGCAAATATCTTTTGATGTCATTTTCTATTATATCTGAATGAAACAAGCTACTGAGAAATTGCAGTGGAACATTGGTTATTTGAATTATGATGGCGTTTTTCTTGTCTGGATAATTGTTCCTGATAACGGATCTGATCATTAAAAAGGAAGATTTACTATACATGTAAAAAGCAGGTTTAAAGGGTTTCATTTCAATGAATAAACATTGCTTAAATAATTTGTGATATTTTACAAATAAAATCAATTATCAGTCATTTAAATAACAAAAATATGGAGCTGAAAATTCATTTAATTTCAATTACTTTTTATTGCAATTATTCCATGATTGCTAGCAACAGAAGTTAAGATGAAAGATATCTTAGTAAAAAATTAATAATACTAAAACACTTAATTATATGCATAGCTTTACCTGTGTATCAAAAACATTGCTCAGAACAGCATTGTAATGCTTGTACAGAGCTCCGCTATCAAGCCGGCAGTCATGTGCAATCTAGAAAAGAAATTGGTGGAAACAATACAATTTTTTTAAAGTAACACAATATGAAAAGCAGATTTATATTTTTCTGTCTGGAAAAGAAAAATATAACTAAGGAGAATTTAGCAAAAAGAGAAATTATATCAGTTTGAATCAATTATGAAAATAACTCAATTTAGTATATTTGATATGCGGGGGTCTCTTTGTTGAGATCACTTTATTGGATATTACAAGATTCATATTTTAATTCTAAATCCATGTATATGAATATTCTTAACCATAACTTTAACATGAAACATCTAAATTATGTGGACAATACAGTAAACAAGAGTTTAATCTACTTCAAATTTGGAGTTTGACATTTTCAGTTGATAAATGATTGTAATGAACTTCATATCTTTAAAAAGAGAACATTTGTCTAATCTCAGTAATCTACATTCACTAGTATACTGTAATTGGTGTATGGTCCAACTATCAGTGGCACCATTTATATATATATATATATGTGTGTGTGTGTGTGTGTGTGTGTGTGTGGATATTTATATAGAGATACAATGATGAAAATTTTGTGGTATTGGAGAAAATCCAAAAGTCACAAAAGACTTGAAATTTTATCTTGTAGAACTTTAATCATAAACCTTCAAAAATTCAGAGACTGAGTTCATGATCTCAACCAATTAACTGCAGATAATAGGAATTTCTGTCATTGCAGTTCCATAGAACTCAACTGCTATTATCAAAAACTTCAGCTACATTAATAGGTTAATATTATGTTAGCTGCCCCTGCTCTGCAATTAGGTGACTGGAAGGAATCAAAGGGGAGAAAACTATCTCATTGTGAGTTTAATCCCTGGTAGTACAAATTTAAACTCAATGGAAACAGAGTGAGAAATAAATGAGCAGTACCAAATAAGAGCAAGCTGAGGTATTCAGAGATGAGGACAGCAGAATGAGAACACCCATAAATTAAATAATGGGTTCATTTTAAAATTTCTTGGAGGTTATATGGATACCCAAAGAATGCCAGTACATAAGGATAATAGACCAAACTTAAATAATGAACATAATGCTATCCTATTTCATAGAAAATTCTTATGGGAACCCGATTTTTAACTCAATTAGCCCTAAACAACCAACCTGCATTTTAGATTTCTGGTAAACAAAAAAAAAAAAATTCTTTAGGAAATTTTCAGTTTTATCCAAATTATATGAATTTGTGAATTCATATAATACTGCCATTTCTAAATATTCAAACCATTCTTATTCATCTACTAACACTTCACCGTTAAGAGCTATTGAAAACAAATTACTAGAGAATTCTATAGAAATGAAAAACACATAAAAACTATATAGAAAAGAGGTACAAACCTTTTTCACTTGATTGGAACAGAGCAATTTAAGTAAATGTCCTTGAGTCATGAGATTTTTATTTGAAAGTATATCAAATAAATAGACATTAAGGTTAATATCACAAAGCTGGATGATAGTGACTTGACCATCATAACAAGTAAAACGTTCTCCTTCCATGTCAAAGCCAACTATACATGGTTCTTGAGACATTATTCGACGGATGATCATTCGACTTTCCCCTATATTAGTAACCACTCTTACAGACTGCATGATGAACACAACTGCAGAATAAAAAATAGCATTACATTTTTAAAAGAACTTTGTATAAAGACTTTCACTTTGTCATTCCTTATAGTAAAAATAGAAAAAAATAAGTTATGACCATTTTATTAGAATTTAAAATTCCATAATGTTCTTAATACTGGAAGTGAAACATGTACATCAAAGAAAATTCATTTTCGATGAATGATTAAAGAGAAAATATGTTTTTATAAAACAAGACTAAATTTAACTATGTTATTCTATGAAAATCAAGAGAGTCTTTAATTCTATTCTTGCTGTTGATTTCTATAGAGCTTATCAGCTGCAAAACCATTGTAAAATTTATTTTTACTTATAATCAAACACCAAACAATTATTTTTATGATATTAATTGTAGAATTCAGGTATTTAAGTACCTTTATTTTTTTTTACTTTTATGGCCTCAGATTTAAGAGATGGCTGCAATGGAAAAAAGAAAATGTATTTTCACAACTAATATAAGAAAACTTACACATTTTCTATAAATAAAAAACTAGTTTTGGGATGCTAACTAAATTTCAGTTGTTTGTTATAATAATGCACAGTAAAAAAACTCAAATTTATGTTTGACCCAAATTGTTTTTGTTATTTAGTATGCTTGGCTTTGTAAAGCCAAATAATTGAAAGATGGATAAAAAAAATTGTGTTGAACCAACATTTCATGTAGGGATGGCTTGCTTGACTTTGAAATCAGCATTCAAAATCTTAGCTTTTTATTGGTTTAAAAACCAGCCTGGGAAGGTATATTTCAAGTTATAATGTCAATGAAAGTAAATAGGCCTTCCTCCTTCCCTTGGAAAATTACTGTAACACTTTTCTTACCCAACTTTTAACTTTATGTCAAATTGACATAAAGCTAATAGATTTTTATTTTATTTTATTAAATATGCACATAAATGAAGTCTTGTGAAAATACCTGGATTAAAACTACATTTTTATCAATATTGCACAACTGAGTTATTTTGGTAATTTCAGCAAATGCGACTAAGAAACATGCTTCCAGGTAATCAATGATTATTTTAAAAATTAGCATCTACATTTATTAACCCTACAATTTTGAAAAAAATAAATTAAATTTTAGAATAAATATTCTTAAGTTTAAACAGTAAACACTAAGTCTGAGTATATGTTTCTTTTTCTTCTATAATTTGGAGATGTTAAAGACGCTATTTTGGATTCAATGTTTTAAATAGATCATCAGAAAAAAAAATCGACACTTTTTGTTTTACAAATAAAAATATATCACAGAAAAAGAGAAAAAAAAAAGAAATTCAGAAGTCTTGAAATACTTTTGCACAGAATATTTTTTTTGGCAACAGATTACATAATTTTCAGTGTTTCACCATAGTGAAATTTAATTTAACTTGAAAATGAAGATAAAATGTGATTACATAGATATATAGAACATGTGATAGAAAACGTTTTTAGAAAATGAATAAATTTGGTTAGTTATTTTTTTTTAGTGATTAAAATAGGAGTATTAAAATAATTACTAATTGATGAAATGAACGTTTTTTTATGATTTCTAAAAAAAAAAAAAAAAAAAAAAAAAAATAATTTATAGTTCTACTAAAAAGTATAAATCCTCAAATGAGTGCAATTAGCCAAGTAGTTGTAAATACCAGTCTTATGATACTGACAGTGATTTCAATTGCCAGAGATAAAAAAAAAAAAGTTAAAATATTACGTTTCTTTCCGCTAATAATAATTTTAGCGCCTATTGTATTCCTGGGCTAAGTCAAAGTGCATGTGTGTTTTACTTTTCTACATTCAATAATTTCATCCATTCCATCACTTACAATTTGAACGCACGTGTATAAAAATGAAAAGTTTGCATTTAAAATTAAATTTCACACTAAAAGACATATTTGTAGTAACTTGTTTTTAACCAAAGTAACATTTTTTTCGTTTTCTTTCTCTACAAAAAAACAAAACAAAAAAAAAACATTCAACCACAATAAAAATCAAACGCACTAAAATGTTTTTTGTTTTTAACTTAAAATCAATTCTAAGTGGGTTTTTATTTAGGCGTTTTAAAAATATTTCAAATTTTTAATTTTTTTTGTAATTCTTCTTAGAAAGAATAAGAGAGTTTGTTTTTTCTCGTACACAAAACTCACGTTGAGAAGAAAAAAAATAATAACATTATTGCTTTTCGCTGTCGATTAAATATTTAAAATCATTATTTAAAGAAAAAAAGAAAAAGAAAGAGAAATCAAATTTTTAAAAGCAAAATTATTTCTGTTTTTGCGAAAAATAACTGACCGAGTGTTGGGTGCACAAAATTTACTGACGAAATTGAGTGCATTTGAAAAACAAAAAGGCTTTTAAAAAATGATTTCGAACAACAGTCATCCACCTTCTTAGTCCTTAATTCTTTAAGCCAGAAAACATAAACAGACTAAAAAGATATTCAAGTGACTGTGCTGGTGAATATTTTACTCTTTAAATGAAAGAAAAATAAAGTTCAATTCGCAAGAAAGAAAAACCTGAATTGTAAAATAAAATAAATGAAAATTTATTTAATAAGATTAAAATTTATTTCATGTAACAATACAATTTGTTACAAATTCTTATCATAGATAAAATTAAATTGATTCATTAATCTTAATTAGAATTCACTGAATAAGAAAAAAAAGTAAAATGATAGTTAATATTTTAATACTTTTTAGTGCCCCCCCCACCAAAAAAAAAAAACAATCACTTTTTTGTTACTGATCACTTTAGAAACTGAGTTGCCTATCAAAATAATTTTTATAAAAAACAGAATGTAATCTTCCTATTCGAAGCAGACACAAAAGAAATAAGAAACTTTAAGAGCTTGCAATTATTTAGTGATTTTAAGTGCATGAAAAAGAAAGTAAAAAAAAAAAAAAAAGCTTTTGTTTTTAGTTTTTACTTACCAATATTTTCAGCACTCCTCTCGAAGATTCAACCACTGGTATTGAAAAAAGCCAAGGGAAATAGTTCTTTGGAAGTTAAAAATATTTGGATAATTAATAAATAATTATGAGGCTTTTTAAAAACTTATAACCTCTAAAACTCCCTAAATGTGTCGATTGGTATAAGTTTTTAAAATTCCAAACCTGTTTTTCAATGTTTTTTTTTTTATCTGAGAAAAACAGGAACACTGCAATGGCCTGAAAAATGAAGAAACCATAAAAAAATTATTTAAGATAAATATATGAAATCATCTTCGTGATAACATTAAAATGATGTTAAGCTTTTGTCAGTTAACACTTATTTTACGTCAAATGCCAGGATAGAAAATGTTTATTTTATCGAGACTTAAACGGCTGTAATAATGGCGTTTCGTTATCGTTAAAAGCGCCTAATTCAACGTGCGAATGATGTTGTTCATAGATATAAGGGCAGTTATACTTCCTTCACTCACTAAAAGTTAATGAGAACAGATGAATTTGCCCTGATATTTATGTCACCTAGCATACGGAGCTGCTGTAGACATTGTAGGGGGAGGTAATTCTAGTTACTTTGTGACAAATTGCATGGCCACCACCACCGGTGGTATTGTTATACCTGCACTATTCATCACTAAATATTCGATTGAGAAGAAATCAAGCTTCCCTCGCGAAACATAGAGAAAAAGTCAACAATTCTACCTGATTAACTGATTTTGAACTGCACTAAATCAATGAAAACATTTATTGACAATAAGAACAGTATTTCAGATCTTGTGGTAAAATAAATAAAAATTAAAATATAACATAAGCCCATTTATTAACAAAGTAGACTTTCCAGATCTTTCATGAATCAGTGCTGAAGGTGAAAACTGACATTTACAAAATATAATATTTTGTACATATGCATGATTTCAGACTTTGCCTTCACATCTCCAAGAAGTCATTAAAATGGTATAAGTGTATAGTGGTGTGAGGCTTAGGGGTTAAAATGAACATTTGGTTTTTCCCATGCTAAGAAAATTAATGAAGGGTTATAATGATGAGGAAACACAAGGGTCATTTTTAAGAAGAGAAGATAAGGAAGTTAATCACAGATTTTTTACACACTTAATGTCAGTAGCTTGTTTCTGGAAAATAAATCAGAATTCTTAAAGTCTGTTGTTTTAACATGTCATAAAGAGGAAATGTTCATAAAACAGATTAAATAGATGGACACAAAATAATATTCAAAAATGTTTAAGACACATAGTAAGAGAGTTCGTTGCTCACTGTAGGTATATATGGCTTGCATATGTCTAAAAGTAGACAAAGAGAGATAGTTTGAAATACTTAGCTTTCTTGGATTGGTTAGAGGCCAATAATATAATTGGCAAGTAATTTTACACTGTCCAGTACTTCCCTGCTAATCATGAGGAACTGAAACAAAACCTTACACATTATAGCGGATGTGTGGTGTGTTGGAGAGGAATAGAAGGTTTGAATTATCAGAAGGTTTAAAATTGTGTGTGTTCAATAATCTTCCATCCACAACAATTAATACAAGACAGAGAATAATTATTCAAAAACATCTTGTTTCAAAATGTAACAATTGAATTTATTAGTGTTTGATATACATGCATGAATACTGAGTGAAAAGGTTAGACAGAGTTGTGTCTCTTAGCTTAGGTGATATTTGTACCTAAGTTCATAAAGTGAAAGTAATTATTAAACTGTAGTTTAGGAAGAATGAAGTTTCTTTAGCATGTTTGGAATTGTGTATTGTACAAGTTGGTAAAAGTTCAGAAGAGATTTCAGAGTTCGTACTTGCGTGAATGTTGATAATGGTCTTTGACATCTGACTACATTAGT